CACAGGGGCGCCTTGCATTTCGTGTATTGAAAGACTTCGTGCATCACCGAGGATCCCTTCATTTCATGGGTTGAGAGTCTCCGTACATCACCGGGGCGCATTGCATTTCCTGTATTGAAAGACTTCGGGCATCACCGAGGAGCCCTTAATTTCATGGGTTGACAGCCTCCGTACATCACCCGGGTCCCTTGCATTTCGTGTATTGAAAGATTTCGTGCATCACCGAGGAGCCCTTCATTACATGGGTTGATAGCCTGCATCACATCACATCATGGGGGCTCCCAGCATTTCGTGTATTGAAAGATTTTCCTGCATCACCGAGGAGCCCTTCATTTCATGGGTTGACAGCCTCCGTACATCACTGGGGCTCCTTGCATTTCGTGCATTGAAAGACTTCGTGCATCACCGAGGAGCCCTTCATTTCATGGGTTGACAGCCTCCGTACATCACCGAGGGCGCATTGCATTTCATTCGTGTATTGAAAGACTTCGTGCATCACCGAGGAGCCCTTCATTTCATGGGTTGATAGCCTCCGTACATCACAGGGGCTCCCAGCATTTCGTGTATTGAAAGACTTCGTGCATCACCGAGGAGCCCTTCATTTCAAAGGTTGACAGCCTCCGTACATCACAGGGGCGCCTTGCATTTCGTGTATTGAAAGACTTCGTGCATCACCGAGGAGCCCTTCATTACATGGGTTGATAGCCTCCGTACATCACCGGGGCCCGCCTTGCATTTCGTGTGTATTGAAAGACTTCGTGCATCACCGAGGAGCCATTCATTTCATGGGTTGACAGACTCCGTACATCATCGGGGCGCATTGCATTTCGTGTATTGAAAGACTTCGTGCATCAACGAGGAGCCCTGCTTTTCATGGGTTGACAACCTCCGTACATCACATGGGGGCGCATTGCATTTCGTGTATTGAAAGACTTCGAGCATCACCGAGGAGCCATTCATTTCATGGGTTGACAGCCTTTTGTATTACATCACCCGTTGGCGACTTGCATTTCGTGTATTGAAAGACTTCGTGCATCACTGATAAGGAGCCCTTGATTACATGGGTTGATAGCCTCCGTACATCACCGGGGCTCCCAGCATTTCGTGTATTGAAAGACTTCGTGCATCACCGAGGAGCCCTTCATTTCATGGGTTGATAGCCTCCGTACATCACCGGGGCTCCCAGCATTTCGTGTATTGAAAGACTTCCTGCATCACCGAGGAGCCCTTCATTTCAAGGGTTGACAGCCTCCGTACATCACAGGGGCGCCTTGCATTTCGTGTATTGAAAGACTTCGTGCATCACCGAGGAGCCCTTCATTACATGGGTTGATAGCCTCCGTACATCACCGGGGCGCCTTGCATTTCGTGTATTGAAAGACTTCGTGCATCACCGAGGAGCCATTCATTTCATGGGTTGACAGACTCCGTACATCATCGGGGCGCATTGCATTTCGTGTATTGAAAGACTTCGTGCATCAACGAGGAGCCCTGCTTTTCATGGGTTGACAACCTCCGTACATCACCGGGGCGCATTGCATTTCGTGTATTGAAAGACTTCGAGCATCACCGAGGAGCCATTCATTTCATGGGTTGACAGCCTCCGTACATCACCCGGGCGACTTGCATTTCGTGTATTGAAAGATTTCGTGCATCACCGAGGAGCCCTTGATTACATGGGTTGATAGCCTCCGTACATCACCGGGGCTCCCAGCATTTCGTGTATTGAAAGACTTCGTGCATCACCGAGGATCCCTTCATTTCATGGCTTGACAGCCTCCGTACATCACCCGGGCGCCTTGCTTTTCGTGTATTGAAAGATTTCGTGCGTCACCGAGGAGCCCTTCATTTCATGGGTTGATAGCCTCTGTTCATCACCGGGGCGCCTTGCATTTCGTGTATTGAAAGACTTCGTGCATCACCGAGGAGCCCTTCATTTCATGGGTTGACAGCCTCTGTGCAACCCCGCCACATCTCTAATGCAACTGCTGAAACACAATACATGCATCCTAACTCTGCTTCCATCAACCCCTTCATTTCATGGGTTGACAGTCTCAAGTTTCAACCCCGCCACATCTCTAATGCAACTGCTGAAACACAATACATGCATCCTAACTCTGCTTCCATCAACCCTTCATTTCATGGGTTGACAGCCTCTGTGCAACCCCGCCACATCTCTAATGCAACTGCTGAAACACAATACATGCATCCTAACTCTGCTTCCATCAACCCTTCATTTCATGGTTTGACAGCCTTTGTGCCACACCGACGCTCTGTTCATTTTGTGTATTGACAGCCTTCGTGCATCACAGACGCGCCCTTTACTTCGCTGGTTGACAGCATACGTGCGTCCCCGGATAGGTTCAGCACTCGTCGTTGTAGTTGATGGGGTACAATTATTTTCACATGGATGTATTCGATACACCTTTGCCTATCACTAACCTTCTTATAAGTATCCATATTGCAAGAATGCTCTGTTTATCACGCAAAAACCAAACCATAGTTTGTTCGCCAGAAGGTTCATCCTTCACTGCAATTCCGTTCGCTTCTGCTGTTTTTCCAACGTTCATGCATGGAAATTATTTTGTTTTTGGTAAAATTCAGGTAGCATCCAAGACAAAAAAATTAAATGCGAATCGAAATATGTTTTTTTTTTTTAAATATGTTATTGTTAAAGGATACAAACTTTTGGAACGTGCAGTCGCAACACTAAGGTTGGACTTTTTGAAAATTTAAGAGTGTTCGTTTTTTGCTAATATGGCAATTTGAGAATTATTTTTTTGTAGGAGTTTATCATATTTCGATTCGCATTTAATTTTTTTCCAGTCGGATGCTACCTGAATTTTACCAGAAACAAAATAAATTCCATGCCTGAAGATGACTGAATGTACAGTTGAAAGTACTTGCGTATTAAAGAAAGGTATTATACAGCTTATAATTTTTAAAAACAAGGATCATAACATTCATCGAATGATTTGTAGGTTAATGCACCTTTCAAATTTTGTTAGCGAAGTGATTTCACCATTTTATATCATTAACTTTACTAATCTAGTTTTTGTATGAATGATTCATTGTAATATAAACTGCATTATATATTATATATATATATATATATATATATATATATATATATATATATATATATATATTTCCTTAGCCTGATATTAAAAATTATATATGCTAATATGCATTTGCACAAAGATCATACTTCAAGTCTTCAGCTGTTGGACACAGCTCGCCTCATTGCAAGAGCAGGTGACAAAGAACATCTAAAGTATATCCTGTTAGTGTGCGACGTTTCTGTTCAATTGTAATCCGCTCTCAGACAAATCTGTTGCATCTCGTTGCATGAAAGTTTTTTTTTTCAACATTATCCCTTTACCTAATTCATCTGACTGGAAATATTTTGTTTATTAATATTTGAGATAGAAATGAACTTGAAAAGGTCTTCTATAAACTTGGCATTTCTACCATATCGGAGAATCACTGGTACAGTTGTGTTTTAAAGCAAGAAGCCTGGTCATGTAATTCTCTTAAATATATCTTGGTACAGAGGTAGATATAGACAGAGATAAATAGATAGATACTTAGAGATAGATAGATAGATAGATAGAGATAGATAGATAGATAGATAGATAGATAGATAGATAGATAGATAGATAGATAGAAACTGAGACAGATAGATTGATATAGACAGACTGAGATAGATAGACAGGCATAGACTGAAACAGATACATTGATATAGACAGACTGAGATAGATAGATAGATAGATAGATAGATAGAGACAGATTGAGAGATAGATATAGACAGACAGAGATAGATAGATAGATAGATAGATAGATAGATAGATAGAGACAGATTGAGTAGATAGATATAGACAGACTGAGATAGATAGATAGATAGATAGATAGATAGATAGATAGATAGATATAGACACACTGAGAAATAGATAAATGGATAAACAGACAGACTGAGATAGATAGATAGATAGATAGATAGATAGATAGATCGATAGATAGATATAGACAGACTGAGAGAGATAAATAGATAGATATAGACAGACAGACTGAGGTAAATAGATAGATACATTTAACCCACATCTGGAAGTAGAAGATAGATTCATACTTTTCCCAAGAGTATCTGCGTGCAAGTAAATGTAACGAACGACTCGAACTTGGACTTGTCTCTATCGATTTCGCCGTCCAAACTGCTATTCATTACATAATTGCATATCCACACAGATAGATATATAGATAGATAGATCTGTGCAAAATAGATCAATCCTTTCTTATGACCATTTCAAATGCCCCAAAATCATCACCTCACCTTCTTTTCACCTAAATAACTTGTGAGATAGGAGGTAGATAGCCATAGAGCTGCTGTTTTAGGCCGCTATTTCCAGAATAGATCCAATGCAACCCTTCTATAGGCGTTATCTGCCTTCTTTCCCGATCGTTTTGTCCGAGAACAAGACAACTATAGTACGCCGTTGATCAATGCTGGTGTCAGTCGCCTTCGAATAGCACTCGCACTAATAGCACTTGCTCAATAATACTCGTCATTAATCACCATATAGTGATCTGAATAGAGAAATAGTAAAATGGATAGAATATAGAATAGCGGTCCGTATAGTAATAGAGTAGAAATGGAGATCAATTAGACGTCACACAACTTCCTACTTATGCATTTCCTCTATGGTCACGTGATCTACTTAATTCAACAATGGGATCGCCTGTGTTTGCTCACTGGCGATCTGTGTTCAAAATCCAGTGTCTGTAGCGACACTTTATTCCTATATAACAATTTTTTTTTTGTTTGGATGATAATGGTTTTTGTTATACAAGTTTTACTAATTATCCCATAACTGGGGGAGAAGAGATAGATCCGTACATTCTCCAAGCGTATTTACGCGTAAATGATTATAACGAACAAAAATGGAACTCGGCTCTCCGGTTAACAATTCTGAATCATTATCTATTACACCATCCGCGCATCCAAGCTTACAGCATCTGGTATTACCAAGCGGTTACCCATCTAGGTAATGACCAGGCTCGACGTTGCTTAACTTCAATGATCGTACGGGAACCGGTTTTTCAACGTGATGTGGCCGTAAGCCCTCTTGGTTCGCCTGGGAGTGGATGTCTGATGTTTTATAGTGACCTAAAACTCCAACCTCCTATGGCACCAGAAATAAATATTACGTCGCGTCCCGGTCCACATTAAAGGTGTTTGCGAAATGTGAATCCCTATAAGTAATAGGGAATAAAATATAGATTATGTGCCCCGTTTTGTAATAAATCAAAGCAGATAAACCTTTGATCCTGTTAAATGTATATTAAATCTGTGCCCTGGGTATGACGATAAACTACATCCGGCAGCATGTCCTCTGATTGGGAGGGGTCTTGTGTATGACGATAAACTACACTCGACAACAAGGTCTCTGGTCGGCTGGGGTCCTGGGTATGATTAATGACATTCGATAGCAAGGCCTATTGGAAGATTAGGGGTTTTGAAGAGCTTGGAACCACCTCTTAATTGCTGTTGTTCCCAGGTCTACCCTGACTCGTGGTGGTAACAGCAGGATCACGGCTATCGGCAAATAGTGAACCTCCTAAACAAAAACAAAAAACTACGAAAGTATAAAAATACATTTTTATAGTAGAATTACTACAATGCATTTTATAGGAAAATGACCAACAATGCATTTCATAGGAAAATAACAACAACGCATTTTTATAGGAAAATGACCAAAAATGCATTTTATAGGAAAATGACCAATAATGCATTTCATAGGAAAATGACCAACAATACATTTCATAAGAAAATAACAACAACGCATTTTTATAGGAAAATGACCAAAAATGCATTTTATAGGAAAATGACCAAAAATGCATTTCATAGGAAAATGACCAATAATGCATTTTTTAAGAAAATGAGGAAAATGACATAGGAAAATAATGCATTTTTATAGGAAAATGACCAATAGGAAAATACATTTCATAGGAAAATGACCAACAATACATTTCATAAGAAAATAACAACAACGCATTTTTATAGGAAAATGACCAAAAATGCATTTTATAGGAAAAAATGACATTTATAGGAAAAATAATGCATTTCATAGGAAAATGACCAACAATGCATTTTAAAAGGAAAATGAGGAAAATAATGCATTTTTATAGGAAAATGACCAACAATGCATTTTATAGGAAAATGACCAATAAATACATTTCATAGGAAAATAAGAAACATAACAATACATTTTATAGGAAAATGACCAAAAATGCATTTTATAGGAAAATGACCAATAATGAAAATTTTTCATAGGGAAAATGACCAAAAATGCAAATAGGAAAAATTTAATGCATTTTATAGGAAAATAAGGAAAATAACAAACAACGCATTTTACCAACAACGCATTTTTATAGGAAAATGACCAAAAATGTATTTTATAATAAATTTCATAGGATGACCAATAATGCATTTTATAGGAAAATGACAACAAATACATTTTTTATAGGAAAATGACCAAAAATGCATTTTATAGGAAAATGACTAACAATGCATTTTATAGGAAAATGACCAATACATTTCATAGGAAAATAACAACAACGCATTTTTATAGGAAAATGACCAACAATGCATTTTATAGCAAACTGACCAACAATACATTTTATCTGTAGTTGACGGCATACAATTGAGTTCAAAATATTTAGATTTCGGCATTAAATAACCCATAGAAGTGTTGATATGCCGCTAAACAAAATCAACCAACCAAACAACCAACATGAAAGAAATCTTTCATGACATTTCATAAAGAAATTAAACTGTATTACAAAACATAACTTCAATAAAGCTACAACATCAAACATACATATTACAGCATCTAGTAATTATGTCCACACAATCATGTATATGCACAAAAGCTGAGTATCATCTACCATATATTCAATTGTGAAAGCAGAATAACATATCATATTTTTATTACTTCAAAGCCTCGAAGAAAATTAAATTTCGACTTTAAATAGCCCATAAGGAGTTGATATGCCGTTAAAGAGACAAATCAATCAATCTGGTGAGAAACTAATTTTCAACTATGAATTAATCAGGAGTTTATAAAAACAAACAAATAAAGCAAAACAAAAGAACCCTGTGAACTTTTGTATACAGTTAAGACATAACATCATCCAATACATTTTCAGATGAAGTATACTGAAAAACCGCTGCAGGTGGCGGGGTGTATTCTTTCTCTTGCTTCTTGAAATCAAGCTATCCGTCGAAACAGAGCAGATATAAAAAAAATAAAAAAAGGAAAAATAAACAAAATTCTGCTTTTTATAATTCTCTTGAGAATAAATCGTTGTCAATTTGGAGAGACAGATTTTTCAATCGACGGAACAGAAGCAGTTATTTGAGCAACAGAATCGATATCTTGCGATAATAAATCTGTTTTTTATGAACAGACTACGCTCTGGTGGAAAAAAATCCATCAAGAGAGA